TATATATATATAATTTTAGTTTTTTAATTGCGTGTGTGTGTAATTATGCATGACTCTCTGTTTAGGATTTTTATAACCAAAGTAGAATTCCATCATTTAGCTTAACCCCACCCCGAAACAACAGAAAACCTTAGACACACCTTGATCAATTATTATAGGTCACAAAAGCTCATAGAAATCTGTGTTTTTCATGCAAGAAGCATAAGAAGCACCATTACATGCTACACACTATTACAGCAGTGCAATGTTCATAGTTCAGCTGCTGATGAAAATTCAAAACAGTTAATGGAAATGGAAAATGCATCTATAAATAACATTTAAATGATCTGCATCACTTTGTCAATTTCATTGATCATTTTCACGAACAGTTGGACGGGTATGTGATGTAATTATCTTCTTTCCTTTCATAAAGGATAGCCACGTGTATACTACACTAAAGGAGGTAATAAAGGAAGCACTGAGGCACCGTCCCTTAATATTTCAAGAATTCAACCGGTTCTTATTATGGCTGCCACGCAGATACTTCTGCGTCAGTTCCCTCACTCGGGAAGCTTAACTGTTTGACTGCAAAATGTTGTGTACCTGTAACAGTGAGTCAGAGTGAGTCATTGTGAATGTTTTAAAGTACCACTGATGTTAATGCTGTCAGTGCAGGTTCAAAATTATACTCAGTTAATTTACTTTTCAGCAGATTACAATACACATGCAAGAGCTGTATCTACAAATAATGTGTGTATGCGTTAGAGAGAAAAGAGACTCTGTGTGGTAATTTAATCAATGGATTAATTGGTTACAGCTTTGTTGGGTCTGTTGCAGTGAGTCAATAGAGATGACGCCACAACCGCAACATACAGCTGTATAAAAATAATTTGCCTTTGTGTGTATGATTGTGCGTTTCTGTGTGTGTGTGTGTGTGTAAGCTGTATTTCTTTTGTGCCAGTGTGCATGTCACAGGGGAGAGTTTCTAGCCATCTGAGCCCAGTTTTCTGTCTCTGTTTAAAGACCCACAGTATTCTGTTATCTGTTACTCATTAATTTTATACATAGAAACTCACTGATGACAGTATTGTTTCCAGTGTGATAAATGAACTACAAAAGACACACTGGGTTCCACCAGCTTGCCAAAGCCCATTAAATAACACAAAAATTATGTTTTCTTTTGTGGATAAACTTGACTCTGCAGCTTTAGGAAAACAGTCACAAGGTTTGAATTTGAATGCATCATTACCATAATTTCTATTGTTTTGTGAGTGACAGTGCCACCATGTTAGTTTGGTAATAAGACATGCATGAATGGGGAGATGCATTCAGTTTAAATCAATCCTCACTGTTTGCACGGTCAGAAACTTTCCATGTACCAGAGTGATTTCATTGGATAAACAAAATCTAGCTGATTGATTTGCTTTCAGGACGCAAGTGGCAGCAAAAACTATGAAGTTGAAGTTTTAGATTGTTTTTCAAAACTAGGTTTGGGGTGCTTCAAAGTAATATATTTTTCAGGTTTACTCTGGAAGTGTCATTTTGATGGGTTTGAGGTAGCACAACAATTCCCAAAATGTATTGAAGCCAAACTTTGAATGAGTGCAAAGTGTGTAAATGTGCTGTGACAGCTTACAGTGCTGTCAGTTTGTCTCTGGCTGAGTGAGTGAAGCCTACCTCCTTTGGGGAGGAAAACAGAATAGATAAGTGTTGACACAGGGTGTTAGATGGAGTGCTTCTTGTAAAAACACGCATGTTTGCAGAGTGCCATGGTGGCTGTGTGACCTTTTTTTTAAACAACCTTCTGTTTGATTGAATTGGTTTTGTTATGCCAGACACTTGGGTACACACACACACGCGCACACACACACATATATA